AGCCTGCACACAGCAAGGAAGACCCAACCCAGCCATAAATAAATTAATTAATTAAAAAAAAAGAAGACGTGGTCTATATACAATGGAATATTACTCAGCCATAAGAAAGAATGAAATATTGCCATTTGCAGCAAAATGGATGGACCTAGAGATTATCATAGTAATTGAAGTAAGTCAGACAAAGAAAAATATCAAATGAGATCACTTACATGTGGAATCTAAAAAAAAATACAAATGAACTTATCTACAAAAGAGAAATAGACTCACAGACATAAAGACAAGATTAAGGTTACCAAAGGGGAGGGAGGGAGGGATAAATTAGGAGTATGGGATTAATATATATACACTACTATATATAAAATAGATAAACAACAAGGTCCTGCTGAATAACACAGGGAACTATATTCAATATCTTGTAATACACTGTAGTGAAAAAGAATCTGAAAAAGAATACATATATATATTGGGAATTTTCTGGCGGTCCACTGGTTAGGGCTCCACGCTTCTACTGCCGGGGACAAGGGGTTCGATCCCTAGTCAGGGAACTAAGAACCCACATGCCGTGCTGCACAGCCAAAAAAAAGAATATATATATATATATATATATATAAAATTGAATCACTAAAAAAAGTGCAAAAAATAAGATCATTAAAATGTGAATTCTATGATTATTCTAAGACTGAGCTTCTTTTCATATCTTTAAAGTTATTTGTATTTTTCCTATAGATGATTTGGTTATATTCTTTCCCCAATTTTATTTTTCTTTTTTTTTCTGAATTAATTAATTTATTTATTTTTGGCTGCATTGGGTCTTCGTTGCTGTGCACGGGCTTTCTCTAGTTGCGGCAAGCAGGGGATACTCTTCGTTGCGGTGCACGGGCTTCTCATTGCAGTGGCTTCTCGTTGCAGAGCACGGGCTCTAGGCGTGCAGGCTTCAGTAGTTGTGGCATGCAGGCTCAGTAGTTGTGGCTCGCGGGTTCTAGAGTGCAGGCTCAGTAGTTGTGGTGCACGGGCTTAGTTGCTCCACGGCATGTGGGATCTTCCTGGACCAGGGCTCGAACCCGTGTCCCCTGCATTGCAGGTAGATTCTTAACCACTGCACCACCAGGGAAGCCCTTTCCCCGATTTTCAATTGAGGTGTTCATTTTTTTCTCATTGATTTATAAGTGCCTTTATATCAAGGATATTCTTTTTTATTTTTATTTAATTTTTTTTATTGGGATACAGTTGTTTTACAATGTTGTGTTAGTTTCTACTGTACAGCGAAGTGGAGTTCCCTGTGTGCTATACAGCAGGCAGGTTCTCATTAGTTATCTATTTTATATATATTAGTGTATATATGTCAATCCCAGTCTCCCAATTCATCCCACCTCCACTTCCCCACTTGGTGTCTATACGTTTGTTCTCTACATCTGCGTTTCTATTTCTGCTCAAGGATATTAATTCTTCGCCCAGTTTGTAATTGGTCTTTAATGCTGTTTATAGTTTCTTTCTTCTTTTTCTCCATAGAAATTAAAAGTTTAAATTTAGACAAGTCTTTTTGTTTTTGACTTCTGGGTTTAATGTCACGCATAATGGAAAGATGGAAAGGCTTTCTCTACCTTAAAATCAGTGAAATAATCTTCCACATTTTCTTTTAGTACTTTAGTGGTTATTTCTTTATGAATTTTTAATTGAAGTATAGTTGATGTACAATATAGTGATTCACAATTCTTAAAGGTTATGCTCCATTTATAGTTATTATAAAATATTGGCTACATTCCCTGTGTTGAGCAACATATCCTTGTAGCTTATTTTATACATAATAATTTATTTCTTTATGATTTGCCAGCAGTGCTGGTGTGTTGCCTTTAACACTGCTGACAAAAAGACTGAAAAAAACCCCAAACCCAGAGAATTCCCTGGTGGTCCAGTAGTTAGGACTTTGCACTTTCACTGTCCTGGCCCGGGTTCAATCCCTGATTGGGGAACTAAGATCCCACAAGCCACAAGGCTCGGCCAGAACAAACAAACAAACAAAACCCCAGAATTTCATTCAAATTAGACTTGGATTCAAATCTCAGTTCTGACATACTTGTTTTGTGACTTTGGAAATGTTACTTAAAACTTGTTTTTTCATCTGAAAAATGCGGATATGGCTATATCCCAGGTTATAGTAGGGATTAAATGACAAAGTATGTAAAGCACCTAGTAAATATTTGACTCTCAATAAAGGTTCATTATTATTGGCATTACATCATTCTCCCAGTTTTGAATCCTTTGTCCCTAGAAGCTGACACCTTTCTCCTCTTCATTTATTCATGTTTTCATTCAACAAACTTATATTGTGCATCTGCTTTGTGCTTTCTTCTGTATTAAGGGCTGGTTAATACAGAATACAATATAATACAATACAAAGCTGAATAAGACACAGTTCGTGCCTCCAAAGAGTTCATAGTCAATGGGAAAAGGGAGAGACAAACAGATGAACAGATTGTAAAACAAAGCAATCAGTGGACAAAGATAATGGAGAATATCGTGAGTAGTAGTTAGGGAAGGCTTCCTGGAGGAGGTGCTGTTCCAGAAGGGACTACGTTTGAGGGTCAGAGGTGAAAGAACAGCACCTGCAGAACTACAAGCAATTCCATGTGACTGGAACATCTTAAGTCAGCCAGGGTGGGGGAGGAGCCTGTGTAGGTCAGGTTGGAGAACTTGAACTTTATCCTGCAGGACAAATGGTAAAGAGTTTCCGAAGCATTTTAGCAGAGGTCAGATTTACATAGCTCACTGGGATGGAGTGCGGTGGAGAGATGGATTTTTGTGGCTGAGATTGGAACCTGGATGTACAGCAGTTGCAGTCATAGACATACATGGGCAAATTAGATAAGCACTTAGGAGATACGGATTGTCTGGGTGGGGTGGGGGTGGGAGGGAGAGGGAGAATAACAGCAGGTACCCAACAAATATTTGTTGAAAAGGTGGTTCACGGTATCTGACTTCAGTAGGTAGTGATGCTATTATCTGAAAAAGGATGGGAGGAACAGTTTTGGGGGGTGGGGGTGGAGAAAGTGAACTATTTCAGAGATGTGTTTGAAACAGTTTAGAAATGTGTATGGAACAACTGCCTGGAGACAGCCCTCAGGCAGGCGGCTCTAGGAGGGAGGGAGGGAAAGATTGAAGTTAGTCAAGAGACAGTTACAACCCTGTGAGCGGGTGAGATGAACGGGATAGGTAACCAGCCAGGATCCCCCAAGCCCACAATGTCAGGCGTGGTCTGAGCAAGGTTGCCAACGGTGGGTTCACGGCGGCAGGGGGCGCACTCGGACTCAGGGACGTGGAGCAGGAGGCTGCTGGGTCTCCCACAGCCCTGGGATGACAAGGCCAGCTCCCAGAGCATGCCAGAGAGACCAAGCTGAATCTGCGGGAGGCCGAAGGCCTTCCGAAGTTGTTGGCCTAGTGCCTTCGATGGGGGAGATCCTCCAAATGGAGCTGAACCTCCAGGGCCTAGGTTCCATCCCCCTGCCCTGGCAGTTCCTCGGGGCATGTCCAGGTCGCTGATCAGAGCAGGAGCCTGGAGCCCTCCCGACCACGCGCACTTTCCGGGAGACCTGACTTGTGCTTTGCAGTTTGGCACTGCCCACCGCGTCAACCTGCAGGGAGAGCCCTAACCTGAAGGAGATGTCAGGGAATGGGGAGTAAGGGGGTGGAGGTGGTGCCGGGCAGTGGGAATGGGGTGGTCAACTCCAGCAGGGAGTACCAAGATGACCGGTCTGGGTGAAGGTCCCCGAGGGGACCAAGGAGAGAGGGAACGGGGTGGGGTCGGGGGGTCAGAGTCTCGATGCGGCACCCGAGGAAACAACGTTCTAGGAGGCAGACAAGCCCCAAACTCCCACCTGGGGATCCCCGAGGGACACCTTCCAGGGACCACCGGGCAGATGGCACCCAGAAATGGGGTCGATGAATCAGGAGAGCAGGGAAGAGGCACACCATGCCTGGATAGAGAGAGGTCAGGGGATCCAGAATGCGCAGACAGCGTCTGGATGAGGGTTACTAGGGGCAGGAGAGCGAGGATTCAGGACACAAAGCCCAAGACAGACAGGATGGCAGCGTTGCGTGGGGAGGCAATGGAAGTGGCGGGAGCGGGACGACTCATGCGGCGCCAGGGCATCGGGCGTGGTGCCCAAGGCACAGGAGAAGTTGGGGAAGACGAAGCCGGACGGAGGAGAGCGGAGTGCGGGAGCTAGGCTAGGTGAGCGAGGCGGACCGGCGTGCAACTAGGGGAAGTCCGAGGGAGCCGGAACGCCGAGCAGGGGACCCAATCCAGAGACAGGGCTTCGGGGCGAGGCTCTGGAGAGGCGATGGGGCAATGCCTCTGGGGGTTCCCGGCCCGGCTGTGACTCCAGTTTAAAGTACCAGACCAAAAACACCGCCCAACGCAAGTGCCGGTGCACCCCCAGCTCCCTTGTTTGTCTCCTAGTCCGGCCGGAACCGGCTTCTGCTCGCAGCGGGGCGGGCAGGTGGCTGCTGATTGGATAAAGCCTGTTTCCAGCCCCCACTCAGCCAATCAGCGTGTGGCAGTGTTTTCATCTTGGGGTCGGAATAAAAGGGCTGGAATAAAAGGGGGGCAGAAAAGGCGCCGGCCGGGCCCGATACACACCAGTAAGAACCGGGTGAGCTGGATCCGGGGGACCTCGGCCCCGGGCTTGGGTGCTGGGGGGCAGAAGGCGCACGAATAAGGGCGTAGGTTGAAGATGTAAAGAAGAGAGGAAAGGAGAAAGGAGAGAGACTGAATGGATGAGGAGCCTCCAGGAAAGAGTTGACGAATCGAGGAGGGAGCTGGGGGATGGAGGGACGGGGGTCCACTTCCATGGAAACGAGCTAATTGCCGAGGAAACGGCCCCGGATGGGGGTCGCGCGAGAGACTCGCGCCGCCGGTTTGAACCGGCTTCTCCTCTCCCATGCGGGGCTCGCGTGGCCGCAGCGCCTAGCGACCTAGACAGCCGCCAATGGCGCGGCAGTTCCTGTGCCGTCAGGCCAATGAGCGGGCCGTGGGCGGGCCGTTCTGGAACTCCGTGCGCTGATCTTGTGGTTCAGGGAGCCCGGTCTGGGAGAGGGTCTCCAGTGCCGGCGGGCGGGCGCCAGTGAGTGCCCTAGGGAGTGGCAGCCCTCAGGTATGCACCTGCCCAGGTATCCGGACCTCAGGCTGCCTCCCTTGCCAACCCCCAGGCTGTGTCAATCCTTCTGGGAGCCAGGACTAAGTCCACGTCCCTGAGCAGACGTTAGTCCCTTCTTGTTTCCATGCCTCAGTTTCCCTCCGAGTGAGCCGAGGGAGAAGTCTCCCTGTCTGGCCGGGGCGGCTCTCCTGGAGCTGCGGGCAGGCGGCCAAGCCAGCGGCGGAGAGGGTGGCCCAGAGTACGGGCAGGGCTGGGGCTTCCTTGCTGCGCGCACTTGCCTCCCGGGCCGCAGAGGGGTGACAAGCTCCACGCGCTGCGGCAGCGGCCCGGGTTGGCCGACCCGGCTGCATAGTGCCGGGCGCTGACGCCGAGGTCTGTGCGCAGGCGGCTGCAGAGCCGGAGCCCGAGCCGGAGCCGGGCCGCCGCGCCTCGCCTCGCCTCGCCTCGCCATGGCGCCCACCCTGGCCACTGCCCATCGGCGCCGCTGGTGGATGGCCTGCACGGCCGTGCTGGAAAACCTCCTCTTCTCGGCAGTCCTCCTGGGCTGGGGCTCGCTGCTCATCATGCTCAAGTCGGAGGGTTTTTACTCCTACCTGTGTACTGAGCCAGGTGAGCCGGGTGTTCGGACTCGGGGTGGTTCCTGGAGTGGGGGCTTTGGGAGAGGGGGGAATGGCGGTGTAGACCCAGCCAGCAAGACCGCCTCACTGCGCAGCACCTCCTAGTTAGCAAAAGGCCCATTTGATCCTCACCCAGCTCACACACACCCACAGTGTGTGCTGGGTACACATCACTGTCCCTGTTTTGTGGCTGAAGAAACTGAGTCTCAGATCTTCTGACTTGTCTGAGGCCGCACAGCTGTAGACTGTAATAGATCCAGAATCCCTAAGTCCAGGGTGTTCTTTCCACCACCTGGGAGCATGACTGGACTCCTTTCCTCCCAGTGCCTGGCACATCACTTGCTTTGCAGTAAACATGTTGCTCTCTGACTGTAAGAAAGAGGAACTCCTGACTCAGTAGCTGGGGTGCAGCAGGAGAGAGGAAGTGGCTTGGCCTCCAGCCGGTGGAAGGTTCATCTAGAATCTAGATGTTTTTCTGTCAGGCCATCATGGAGTCTCTAAAAGGCTTTTCGGATACAATTTCTTGTCTATTTTTGCTGCTTTATGATTTTCCAAAGGACATTTCCTCCCACAGGCTGTGAGAACATCTCAGTGGCCTTCTACCCCCATGGGGGTGGGGGGAGGAGAGAGGTAAGGAGGATATTTATGGAAAGGACACTAGGTCTGTCCTCTCCCTTTGCTACACACTGGTGTTGCTGAATGAAGGCTGAGGATGCTTGTCTACAAGAAATCTAACCCCCACCCCTATGTTCACACCTGATGACCTTGTGAAAGGATTCTGAATGCTGAAGGTCAGTGGGGTTCAGCCAATCAGTGGGACCCAAGTGCCTCTCACCCACTACCCTGCTACCCACCTTCCTAGGCAACCTTGATAGGAAATGTTTTCCTCTGCTCTCTGTCCCCAGCAGTGACTACCTAAGGGTTGAACTCAGCAATGTCTCTCCCCAGTACTTTTGTCAGCAGCCCCTGCCCAAGTTCCTTTGGATGGAAATAGCCCAAGTCTGACTCCCTGAATCACACCACTGGCATGCCTTTTAAAAAAAATTTTTTTTAATTAATTAATTTATTTTTGGCTGCATTGGGTCTTCGTTGCTGCGTGCGGCTTTCTCTAGTTGCGGCGCGCAGGGGCTACTCTTCCTTGTGGTGCGGGCTTCTCATTGCGGTGGCTTCTCTTGTTGTGGAGCACGGGCTCTAGGCACATGGGCTTCAGTAGTTGTGGCATGCGGGCTCAGTAGTTTTGGCTCACAGGCTCTAGAGCACAGGCTCAGTAGTTGTGGCACAAGGGCTTAGTTGCTCCGTGGCATGTGGGATCTTCCCGGACCAGGGCTCGAACCCGTGTCCCCTGCATTGGCAGGTGGATTCTTAACCAGTGCGCCGCCAGGGAAGCCCAGCATGCCTTTTTTTTTCTCTAGAGTTCTAACTTTGAGGGAAGAGAAAGCTTTGGACCACCTCATGCTGCCTGTCAGCCCGTGTAGAACCCTCCCTGGTCTCCTACTCTGATCTTCCTAGGAGATTCCTGAGCATTCCAAGTCACTAGGGAAGCTTCAGCTGGGAGAGGTTAAGGACAGGAGAAAGGGAGGGGATGCTGAGCCTGCCTGAGGGCAGAGAGTATATCATTTATAACCTTTAGCCTTTAGCCACTCAGAAATATTTCCTAATAACCTTAGGGTTCTTGGCAGACCTTTCCCCACATCAGCAAGAAATCTCGGGAGATGGGAGAGTCACTCAGACCTTGTTCCTTAAACAAGCTTTCTGCTTTGCTCGAGAGATGTTAGGAGATTAATGACTCTGGAAGGGAACAGATTGGAGTGTTAGGCGCCTCCTCTCCCTCCCTCTCTCCTCTCCTTGTAGTTCATGACCCTTCCTGCTTGTCTCTGGATTCTTTCAGGCTGCACAGAGGGGTTAAAAAACAGAAGGAAGCATCACCCCCAGATGAAGCTTTTAGCATCTCATCCAGACTGGAGGACTATTGTAGTCAATTTTTTTTTTTTTTTGGACCTACTGTGGTATCAGAAGGTCCGATTCTAGTGTTTTTTCCCCCACATTGTCCACTGATTTAATTTATTTTATGGTCTTGGCAGCGCTGGGGCTGGTCACTTCATTCCTGCCTCAGCCTTGGCTTCTTCCTTCTTTGAAGTGGGAGGAGTCCCGGAGATTGTGCCGACGTAGTGCTGAGTTGGTGTTTAAGCCCTTGAGAGGCTTGCCTGGTCCCTCCTGTAAACCAAAGTGAAGGTGAAGGGTCAGGATTGTGGGTTGAACATCAGCTTCTTATCCCGTGCCTTTGTTCCTGCCTCTGATTTTGGTTTTTCTGACTATCTGGCAAACCCGCTGACCCAGCATCTGTGGCGGGCAGGCCTGCTGATTCCACACAGCTTATCTCTCTGGCCTCCTTGCTCCTTGTTTCTTGGAGTTGGAGTAACCTGTTGCCTTTTGGGGCCAGGAGTCCCTGTGTCTTGCCTGGCTGGGTGTGCCCAGAGGATTTAGGATCAAGATTTCTGCTTAGGCCTAATATTTTCATGCTTGGGGGACGGCTGAAGTGCAGAGAAGCGGTTAGGCCATTTATTACCTTTATTGACTTCAGCTTGTGAAAAGCTGATCAGTCTACAGCTGACTGAAATGCAAATTTGTCAGCTTTTTGTTGCTTTTAGGACTGACGCTTTGGTTTGTTCTCGAAAGAAAATTTGCCTGAACCTGTTGAAAGGTTCTCAGAACTCTTTCTCGGGACTCCAGCCAGAATCCGGCCACAGACACGGTGTCCGGTTCCAGCATGTCGAGGTGGGAGACAGAAAGAAAGAGCTGGGTTTTCCATTTCCCCTCAGCTCTTTATCCCTGTCTCCCGGACAGTCAGGATGGATGACTGGGGCTGGGGACCTGGGCCTGGCACTTGGCTTTGCCTCCCCACTCCCCGCTGGAATGGACAGGAGACCGACTGGGTTCCCAGCCCTGGCGTTTCCAGAACTGTGTCCTTTTGGCCGCCGGATGGCCGCTGTCACCACCCACACCCAAACTCTTTCTTCATTTCCTTTGTCAACCGGTGGCCCACTTCGACAGGGTCAGCTCAGGGGCCTGGTGCTACCTGTGGATGTTTAATCTCCTCTTTCATCTGACCTATACGTTCAGTAAACATTTTCTGAGGGGCTCTGCTGGGTGCAGAGCAATCCGGGCCCTCAGGGCGTCTGTAGTCTGCCAGCATCTAAGAGTCATCACACATGGGTCTACATGCTTCCAAGTGGTGGTCCGACCCCAGCAGAGAGCAGGGTGCCGGGGTGAGAGCCACCGTGGGGATCTGGTTCAACTTGGGGGGGGTCTGTGATGTTTAGGCAGAAGCGTGGAGGGCCACAGGGGTGACTCAGGAGAGGAGCGGGCAGTGAGCCTCCGGGGTAAGCTGTGTTTTGAAAGAGAGGAGAGAAATGACAGGCGGGCAGGAGATTACTGGAGATCTGGGAAGGGGCCAGGGCCTGCAGGCCCCTGGGGAGACTGAATTTTATTCTCAAGGCAGGAAGAAGCCCCTGAGGCAGAAGAGAGGATCAGATTCACCTGTTAGCCTCTCATGAATTGTTGAGGGCTTGCCACACGCCAGGTGCTGGGTGGGGTGGGGGTCCTGAAGGTGGGAGACGTGGCCCCTGCCCGAGGAAGCCACGGTCCAGCCCAGCCATGGACCCCAAGGCAGAGCCCAGTTCTGTGCTCTTGACCACCACAGTTACTCCGCTTGTGGTGGCCGGGGGGTGGCACCCCTCACTGAAACAAAGCAGGAAGCTGGCCCCCAGGACCCTGAGAGAGCAGGGCCAGGCCTGGTCCCCACCAGGCAGGACCGAGGCTGCAGATGTGGACAGGAGATGGTCCGTGCCACTTGACGGCCCTCCCTTTTTATGGTCTCCTCCCACCCTCAAAGGCCACTGGTGGTAGCTTTTGAAAACCCATCGTTTCACATTGTGTGTGTGTGTGTGTGGCCACGCCGCGTGGCATATGCGGGATCTTAGTTCCCTGACCGGGGATCGAACCCATGCCTCCTGCAGTGGAAGCTTGGGGAGTATTAACCACTGGACCACCAGGGAAGTCCTTTCACTTTTTTGCTGCGAATAGGACTGTTTTCACCCTCTCCCCCCAGTTTATTTTGGATTTCTTTTTTTCAACTCGGTACTTGGGGATCCAGGTTGGGCCCTCCAGCCTCGGGACGTGTCACAAAGGAGCTGGTGCCCTTGGCCCTCCCCACCCACCCTGCCTGCCTCCTTTCCATGACCTAATTTCCCTCCTCCACATCTGCTGGCCCTCCCTGGCTTCTTGGTGTCCCATTAAGGTCCTGTCCAGCTTGGTTGGCTTTCAGGGACCTCGTGGGAGCATCTTGGGGGCAGTCCCATTCTCACTAGGTGACATTAAGGGCCACCTGGCATTGCCCCGACACTGATAGCCTCGTGCGTCTTTCTTCCCTCAGCATCTTCTCTCTGAAATGCCTCTAACCCAGGTGGTACAGCATCAGCACAGCCTGAAGGTTAAAAGCAGGAGCTTTGAGGTCCGACCACCTGGATTCAAGTCCAGCTTCCCCATATACTGTCTATGAGACCTCGGGGAAGCGACTTATCTGCTCTGACACTCCTGGTATCTGGATGTGGAACATGGGGTGAGGGTGGGATGGCGCTCGGTGACACAGGAACCACTAGCGCAGAGCACAGTGGCCAGCGCACGGCAGCACTCTGCGATCACAACGTGGGGGCTGGGCCCTGGCCTACCCGGCATGGTCCTCTGACTGTGTCCTGCCTCGGTTTGCTGTGTCTGAGGCTGACCTCTTACCTACATACCCCCTGCCAGACTGAGATGCTGCTTCCTGTTGCCGGATAGACTAAGGATTTGAGAGAGACAGGAGATCCTGGGGCAGAGACCGCAGCAGGGCGTCCAGAGGCCTGCACTCTGGGGCTTGGGGGCGCAGCTCGGGTTTGCAGAGGCCTCCAACCCGGTGCCCCTTGCTCCCTTGAGCATCGTACGGTCAGCTCTTCTGGTTTGTTTCCCTGGGGTCAGGGGAGCCCCCTCCTTGATCCAGAGAGGTTAGGGGAGCCTCAGGGGGACCACAGCACCCTCTTTTCTCCCTTGCTTTCTCTGTAAGGATTTCGTGTGTGAGTTCTGTGAGGGGGGCCGAACAGGGCAGGCATTGTTCTCTCTTCCCTGCCCCGGGCCTCCTCCTGAGCAGCCCTACGCCTGTTCTCTGCACACTCTGGACACGCCAGTTCCTTGCCTGTCTTCTTGGTTCACCTTCCCTGGCTGGGCTGGGCCGGAACGGGCCGCCCTGGCCGCATCTGTAGTAAGCCGGTGCAGGTGAGGCACAGAGCAGCCTGGACCGGGGTGAGGGCTGAGGTCTAGGCTGGGAGCAGAGGGGCACCCCAGGGGCTTGGCACTTCCTGTGTGCTTATCTGTTTGGGTCTGTCTGGCCCACAGTGGCCCAGGTGGGAGCAGAGCGACAGAAGCAGCCTGGGTGTGACTGTGTTTGGGCATTTGCTGGATCTGTGATAATTCCGTGTGGGCTGTTTACTGCCAACAAAGCTTCAGGCTCACAGAAGATTTAGTTCCCTCTGGGGCGAGGGGCACTCTCGCACTGCTCCCTGGGCCGATGAGAGGCCACCCGGGTGCCTCCACCCCCAGCTCATTTGTTGCTGGACATCACTGCCGGGAGCTAGGAGGGCAGAGGGCCAGGTGGCCCTGTTGGCAGGGATTTAAGAGAAGGTTTGTGGCCAAAAGTGTAAGGTCCCTGCTTCTGTTATAGCAGCTCTAGGATGAAAGATGGGAGAGACAGATTCCCTTCCCTCCACTCTAACTTCCTGAGCCCCCCTATCTAGTTACAGGGTGACCAGATCTCTAAACAATTCAAGATGTTTTCGTCCCCATCTTCACTTAGAGCAAATCAGGGAGCCTGCCTTGCATATGTATGTTGCCTTGGGATTTCATCTTCTCTCTCTCTCTCCGGGAGTACAGTCATGGATTTAGGTCCAGCTGTGGTTCCTCTCTGGGGAAGCTGGGAGCAGAACACCCTTGTGCCTTTCCTCAGACCCCGTGCTGCCTCGCTTCCTCTGCTCTCCATCCGATCATGGCTCCCTGCTTGTAGCAGCAGATCCCACAGCACTCCCAGCCCGGAGTGATTTCGCGTCCTCTAGCGCTCTCACAAGCCAGCGATCCCAGACCTGGGGGTGCCCCCTTCCCCCCCCATCCACTCTGTCGCACCTCTTTTGTTTGTTTGCACCTGCACACCAACCTGGAGGTGGCCGTTGCTTTGCGGACACCCTGTCCTCCCGCCTTACATTCCAGTTCCTGTTGCTGCTGGCAGAGCTGACACCCGAAACCAGTGCCAACCTGTGAAGCAGCTCTGCTTTTCCAGAAGCGGCCTCACTGTGGACAAGCAGCTCAGGCCTGCTGGCTAAGGCAGTGTGTGTGACGGTTCTGAGCTGGATCCTAATGGGCCCAGATGACCCTGTTTGTCATGTGTTTTGGCTGCCAGCACGGTGGGGCATCTTTTGGAAAGCTGAGAGAAAGTAGTGGGGGGCGCTGAGAGTCTGGCTTGTTAGGTTTTGTGTCTTTGGCTTCAGGAGGTTAACATTGGGTCTATAATCTCCTTCGATCCCCTCTGTCTTCAAGTTGGTTCCATGTGTCCTGTTTCATTTCTTCTCTCTTGATCCTTTTGGCCAATGTGATCTGATGCCACTGTTTTCATTCATTCAGTAAACAACTACTGTGTACCAGGACCAAGGGGAGGTGCTGGAGACACAGGTGACTAGAACACAGTCCCTGTCCTTCAGGGCCCCCAGCCCAGTGGGAGACTAGATATGAATTCATGCTGTGGATGGTCAGTTACAGAACTCTGCTCCCAGTTAGTGTGTCCAGCTGTGCTGCCAGCCATTACCCCCATTCCGAGCCAACGAGAGGAGTAGTAATAGCAGTAATGACAACTTTTAGCTATTGTTTATTGAGCATTTTCTATGCCTATGTGAGCTCTAGAATGTTATCTGGATTTCTCTTTTATCTTCCTCAAAACTCTAGAAAGGTAGATGATTTTTTATATTATGCCCATTTTACGGATAAAGAAACTGAGGTAGAGATGAAATCACTTCTCCAAGGTTATACAAATAGGAAGTGGAGGAACCAAAATTGGAACCCAGAGGCCAGGTCCCTGCACCCCACCCTCAACGTGCCCCCTGCAGGGCCTGTTGGTCAGAGGCTGGCATATAGCATGATTCACCCAAGGTGCATCTTTTCCCGTAACCTTGGGTCACACCCGAGAGAGACCCGGGCAGGCCTTGCACACCTCAGATTTATAACCCTGGTGCCAGAGGGCTGCATTCAGGAGGCACGCAGTTATCTGAAGAGAGGTATTTCCTTGAGTCTCCCAGCGTGACCTCACCTCTCATCAGAGGTTGCCCCTCCCTCTGCGGGATTAGTCAGCATCTCTTAACTAGCAGTTCCCAAAACGAGAGGGCTCCTCCGCCACATGGCGGCCTATCCTCTACCCTCCCACCCTCTGCTGCTGCAGCACTTTTCCCTCCGTCTTTTCGTTGTCTTGGTGCCAGGTGGACTTTGGAGGGTATCGTTAAGGACTGGGATTACAGCACAGGCGTGGCCACAGGGGACAGTGACATCATGGCCCCAGCGAGAAGAAGAAAGGTGCACTTCAACAAGTGAAAGCAAATTACTTGGGACTTTTCTTTTTTTTAACAAAACAAAACAAAACCCCTTCCCAAGGGCTTCCATGACACAGTGTATGTGGCGGTTGATGCCGTGAGAACATCGGGGAGGATTGAGCACAGGGGCTGTGTGTTTGAGGGATCTGCCGTACTGGGCAGTAAAGGAGGCCTACTCACCCCTCCCCTCGGTTGACCAAGGGCAGCGCAGTGAGACCAGCAGCTTATCCTTCCCAGGTGGTCTAGGGTCGGCCTCCTGTATACTGGCTGCAGACTGTTTCCATGGACAGAGCTCCAGAGAAGGTTCTAGCCAGCCTGGGGTCCCACTCACAGCCTGGGTTGGGTCCCGAGGCCTACTCTTCTAGGTGTCGGTTACTCTAGAATGGGAATCCCAACCTGGGGCTCATGGGTACTGCAGGGGATGCCTGAAGGCCCTGAAACTGTGGGCAAGACTTTGTGCATTTTCTAAAGAGCAGGAGCGGAGCTTCCTTTATTGGATTCTCGAAAGCATCTGTGACCCCCACACAGAAGTGAAGAATCTCTGCATTATCGCTCCAGGGAGCTTGGGCCAGATAGACATCCCAGCCTGCTGGGGGGTAGCCAGATTCAGCCCTGGCATTCCCAGTGGGCTGACTCCGGGTGGGCACCTGCCCCTCTGATCTTTGGAGATCGCTGCCACGACCCTGTGGTCAGGTTTCCCTCCCTCTACACACAGAGAATGTCACCAATGGCACAGTGGGGGGCACAGCAGAGCCGGAGCACGAGGAGGTGAGCCGAATGAATGGCTGGCTCAGCTGCAAGGCCCAGGATGAGATGCTAAACTTGGCCTTCACCGTGGGCTCCTTCCTGCTCAGTGCCATCACCCTGCCTCTGGGCATCGTCATGGACAAGTACGGCCCAAGGAAGCTCAGGCTGCTGGGCAGGTCAGTTCTAGGGGTGGGGGTGGGCAGGTGGGACCCCTGGGCTGAGATTCCCCACTGTGGGTAATCCTGGTACCTGCTCTCAGGTGCACTGTGGAGCTCCCTAAATGCCTGCCCAGGACGGGCTTCCTACCCCACGTGCAACCAAATCAATAGCTACTGTGACCCTTGCATTGTGCCGATCTGCATGAATGTCACAGGGCTCAGGCCTGCCTGGAGGGCCTGGAATCGCTTGTCATTAAGAACACTGGTTTTTGGGGCTTCCCTGGTGGCGCAGTGGTTGAGAGTCCGCCTGCTGATGCAGGGGACGCGGGTTCGTGCCCCGGTCTGGGAAGATCCCACATGCCGCGGAGCGGCTGGGCCCGTGAGCCATGGCCGCTGAGCCTGCGCGTCCGGAGCCTGTGCTCCACAACGGGAGAGGCCACAGCAGTGAGAGGCCCGCGTACTGCAAAACAGACAAACAAACAAACAAAAAAAGAATGATATATGTGTATATCATTGACAACTCCATGTGCTTATATTAGAGGTATGTATTCAAACTCTTTCTTCTCATGGAGGTGTAAGATCAGAAAGACTGGAAACCAGTGTTCTTTTTTTTTTTTGCGGTATGCGGGCCTCTCACTGTTGTGGCCTCTCCTGTTGCGGAGCACAGGCTCCGGACGTGCAGGCTCAGCGGCCATGGCTCACGGGCTCAGCCGCTCCGCGGCATGTGGGATCTTCCCGGACCGGGGCACGAACCCGCGTCCCCTGCATCGGCAGGCGGACTCTCAACCACTGCGCCACCAGGGAAGCCCCCACATATATCATCCTTAATGTTCTATGTAATTTATTTTTTTCTTCCAATTCTATTGAGGTAATAATTGACATACAGCCTTGTATAAGACTGAGGTGCAGCATAATGATCAGACTTACATATATCATGAAATGATGACCACAGTAAGTTTAGGGAACATCCATCATCTCATATGGTGTTTTATGTGCCTTATGATACATATACAAAGAATATAAATTAAAGTGGCTAAGATTTAAAATTATAAAATTTCTAAAATTATAAAATTGTAAAATAGTATTTCCCTACCTCTGGTACCTTAGTGGGTCATCTTATGTACCTCCTGGGATGTGTTCCTGGGCTATAAAGCTCCAGATTGCCAGTCCCAGGGTCAGTCCACCAAGCAGCTGGCCCTCTCTGGCCAAGGTACTCCCCAAGCCAGTCCCATTGGAAATGAGCATCGTGCAGGGAAGTGGTTTGCAATGAACGAGGCCTGTAGCCCTGAAGGGAATGAGTGGGGGACCAGTTTCATTCATTCTTTGGAGCGTAAGCAGACTTGGTCCCCAGGTTAGAGCCAGGCAGAGGGGATTTGGAAGCTGCCATTCATCGCCCCTTGCCCGGTGGGGTTCTGTCCATCCCCTTTTGCTGAGCGGGCATGGGAGCCTGGGGAATGGATTGTGTCCTCTCTCGCTTCACAGCCTTGGCCCGCTCCAGTCTGGGGAATGGAGGGGGCAGTGCAGCGGGGTGTTTACCAGATCTGGCTTTGGGGCTTGAATTCCAGCTTAGCCACCTGCTAGCTTGGAGACCTTGGAGAATTTAGTTTTTGTGTTTGTTTTTTTCCAAGTATTTGAATACCTGTTTTTTAAAAAATTTATTTTATTGAAGTATAGTTGATTTACAATGTTGTGTTAATTTCTGCTGTACAGCAGAGTGACTCAGTTCTACATATGTCTGTTCTTTTTCATATTCTTTTCCATTACGGTTTATCACAGGATATTGAATATGGTTCCCTGTGCTAGACAGTAGGACCTCGTTGTCTTGTTTTTGTTCTTCGAGTTTTATTTTTCTCATCAGTAAAATGGAGCCAGTTATACTCTGTAGAATTGTTAAATTAAATGAAAGAATGTATATGAATTTTCGGAAAGCATCTGACACATAACCAATACCTCCAAATAAGCAGTATTAACAATAACAATAATAACAATGTACTGTTTCTGTTTCTTTTTAGTGCCTGCTTTGCTGTCTCCTGCTTGTTGATTGCATATGGAGCAAGTAACCCAAACTGTGAGTAAGCTTTTCCTCTACCCTTTTGTCAGGGACTGGGGAGAGAGTGCCCAGAGGTGCCTGTAGGCCCACCTGCTCTAGAAAGCTGGGCCAGGCCTGGTGCTCACTGCTCACATTAGAGGGACACCTGTTAGGCCTTTACCCAGTGACTTATCTCTGATGGGTGGCTGGATAACCAAATAATGGCCCCAGACAGAGGTCTGAGAGAAGCTCCCAGGGGGTGAGAAACACCCATCTCATTGCCGAGCCAGGCCAGTCCCCCATGGCCTCATTGATGCCAACTGGAGAACTAGGCCAGCTGCAGGGGCCTGTGTGGAGGTCATGAGCTGAGCCCCTTGGGGCAGCCCAGGCCAGCACTTTAAAAATAACTTGGAAGCTGCCTGGTCCCTAACCCTGTTCAGGTGGAGCTGATGCTGCAGGGACTTTTAGAACAAACACCAAAATGGGATTTGAGTTTCACCAAAATCTTATCCAGGCTCATCTCCTGATTCTTGGGTACCTGTACTTTTGGTTTCAGTGAAGCAGCTTCTCTAGGCTTCTCCCTTGCTGCTAAGGTTAGTGGAGAAAGGAGGACGGGGATGCAGCTTTTGCAAGAGCCCAAGCTCCATAAAATAGGCAAGAGGAGGATGAGGCAGAGGCTGGGCCGGCTCCCCAGGTGTCCGGCACTAACGCCTGATGGCTTGTCAGGCACTCAGCTGCGTTTGTTCGGAGCCGGCTCCTTACCCGGCACTGGGGCAGACCCCGGCCTCCCTGAAGCTCAGCCGTGGTTCCCCACTTAGGAGCTTTTCTGCTTCATTCCAGCCCTCTCCGTGCTCATCTTCATCGCCCTGGCTCTGAATGGCTTTGGTGGGATGTGCATGACATTCACCTCATTAACAGTAAGTACCAATTATTTTAGGAAGATCTCTAGTTCAGTCATCTTCTGTGAACCTGAGGCAGCTTTTATTGGCTTTGATTTCCTTGCTTTCCATTTGCCAGCTTCTGCCTGGGTATCCCAAGCAGTAGAGGGTCATCGGTGGTGAAGCTGTGGCAGCAAAGCCAGCTTCGGCCTCCCAAGCTGGGGAGGTCCTGCAGGCAGAAAGGAAGGCAGCAGAGCGGGACTCGCGGAGTGGCCGGTCCCCTGCCTCCGGACCATGACTGAGGTGCCGAGGGAGCCATGTGCCTAGAGAAGGCGGGACCCGGGAGAAAAAACCTGCCACCTGCTTTCTTTTCTCATATTTTCTGTGGCAAGAGATTTCTTGCTAACAGTGCAACCTTAAAACACACCTCTCTTGGAATCACCCTGCCCCTAACTGTTGCTTTGTTCAGAACTAAATGAAAAACTCTGGGGAACACATAGGCTGCCTCTCTGCTGGGTTTTCTAAATGCTGGGGCACAGAGAGCCCTTCTGGGCACAGGGAGCCCTTCTGGGGAGGGTTTCTATGGTAGCACCAGAACACCACAGAATGTGCTTCTTTTGGAAATGGGAGAGGCTGCAGGAAGGTCTGGGTTAAAAGAAAGTCGAAGGAGGAGGAAGAAGGGAGCTGTGTGCAGGTTCACCTGGTCAGGCAGGTGTGCCTTTCAGAGCTGGCCATTGGGAAAGAAGTGAGAATGCTGGGCTTTCAGAGAGATTTCTCTGTCCAACAGGAAGTTCTGGACTGTCTCAGTTTCCCGTTGAGAAAGTATTAATGAAACAATACCTCCCATCACTATTTATTTGCAGTGCATTCACTTCTGCTTTCTCTTTCCACTAATGAGTCAGGAGTCATGCTGTTGAAGGGCCCTCGTTTAGCTTTGAGGGAGCTCTGGGGACTTGCTGGTCTTCTTGTAAGGAGCTTGAAGAGCTACCGACATCTCTGTGACCCCTTCCTACAGGCTGTGAGCCAGAGGCCGGGCCTGGCCCAGTGCCTCTTCTGTTCACCCTTCCTGCGTTTTGCTGTGTTAACTTTGACCCGGTGGGAAGGATGAAGTGCCTGGGTCTGGGTCCATGGAAATGGAACACTCGGTGGGGTCTGTGTTAGGTGAGAGAGGCTCGGCCCAGGACCACATATGTGCTGTGCTTGGGGAGTGGGGGACACACACGTATCCGGGAACTCTGGTTGCCTTGCCCCTGGTGGTGTGAAGGAGATTGACTTTGTAGTCTTTTGTACATTTTTATTTATTTTTTTAAAGCTACTATTTCTTTTCTTTTTAACTTTTTTGAAGGAACATTTATTTATTTATTTATTTATTTATTTATTGGCTGCGTTGGGTCTTCATTGCTGCGCGCGGGCTTTCTCTAGTTGAGGCGAGCGGGGGCTACTCTTTGTTGCAGTGTGTGGGCTTCTCATCGAGGTGGCTTCTCTTGTTATGGAGCACGGGCTCTAGGTGCACAGGCTGCAGTAGTTGCGGCACGTGGGCTCAGTAGTTGTGGCGCACGGGCTTAGTTGCTCTGTGGCATGTGGGATCTTCCCGGACCAGGGCTCGAACCCATGTCCCCTGCGTTGGCAGCCGGATTCTTAACCACTGCACCACCAGGGAAGTCCCTATTTTTATTTTTTTAACCAGGTAGATTTATAAAAGAATGGATATATCTCCTTCCTTCTCAAATTCCCAGGGGAAAACAAACGTTGAAACTGTAAGAAATATGTTCGAACTGTCAAGCGCACACAGATTCCACTCAGTTGCATAAACTGCGAAGCAGGAGCCGTGGTTCTGTTTGTTTTTTGATACTGTGAACACGACCACCTCTTTCATCAAAATGAAAAATAAAAATCTGGCATCACCCCCGTTATTTGAGCCACACTATGCCTGTGTGATGGCAGTTCTGAATTTCGGGATAAAAGAAGGAGATGGTCCTTGAGGAGTTTACGCTCTGAAATACAGAAAGCTGCTTTATTGTGATAAAGCCTAAGACAAATAGACAAGAACCACCACACCATGAATCCCCTTTAAGAAAGTCTTTAACAGGAATAAAGACGCAGACCTACTAGAGGATGGACTTGAGGATACGGGGAGGGGGAAGGGTAAGCTGGGACAAAGTGAGAGAGTGGCACGGACATATATATACACTACCAAACGTAAAATAGATGGCTAGTGGGAAGCAGCCGCACAGCGCAGGGAGATCAGCTCGGTGCTTTGTGACCACCTAGAGGGGTGGGATAGGGAGGGTGGGAGGGAGGGAGACGCAGAGGGAGGAGATACGGGGATATATGTATATGTGTAACTGATTCACTTTGTTACAAAGCAGAAACTAACACACCATTGTAAAGCAATTTTACTCCAATAAAGATGTTAAAAAAAAAAAAAAGAAGACAGTCTTTAAAATGAGTTCATAGTTATTGTCCAAGAAACCTTTAGGGGAGGCTAGTAGGCTCATAAGGATTCTTTTTCTTTTCTTTTCTTTTTTATGATTATAAAACAAAAAGTAAGAAGTCACTATTTTGGAAATATAAAATATGGACTGTAAAATCCTATAAGCCTAACTTCATCAGTTTAGAATGTAACTCTCCATTATGAAAAAAATAAGAAAACCTGGATATACTAATGTTGCTCTTTTTAAAAGAAATACTGTTACAACTTGCCTTTTTCACTTAACAGCGTATCTTTTATGTCTTTTCCTGCCAGTCTTTAGAAATCTACCTTATTATTTTAAACTATGGAGATTGGCCTCATTATTAAACAGTTCCATGTTATTCTATAATATAGATGTGCCATAATTTATGTAACCAGCTTCCTGCTAATGGACTTTTGGGTTGGTTTCCAATTTTTCTGATTTATGATGCTGCCGAAGTAAACATCCCTGTACATGTATTTCTGTAAAATAAATTCCTAGGAGTGGGATTGCTGGGCCCCAGGATCAGCATGTGTTAAATTTTAATATAGATTGTCAAATGGTCTTCCCAAAAGTTTATACACAGATGCTAGCCTTCCAGAAACTCTGAGAGGTTTTCCTCCACACCCCTTCCGATGCCCTGTCATTAATCATGCAGACATTTGCCAGTCTAATGTGGTGAAAACTGATATACTATGATTTAAAATTTTTTTCCTTGTTAGTGAGATGGAGCATCTTTTCACCTCTTTTTTGTGATCATTTGTATTTCTTCTGTGATTGCTTCTTTGTGTCATTTGTCTTTTTTTACAGGGTTGTTTCTCTCTTTTGTGTGTGCTTTTGAGCACTCTCTCACATACAAAAAAATTAGTTCTGTTTCTGAGTGAGCAAGGGGTCTTACCCTAGGTTTTTTGTTTATTTGTTTGTTTGTTTGTTTTTTTGCGGTACGCGGGCCTCTCACTGTTGTGGTCTCTCCCATTGCGGAGCACAGGCTCCGGACGCGCAGGCTCAGCGGCCATGGCTCACGGGCCCAGCCGCTCCGTGGCATGTGGGATCCTCCCAGACCGGGGCACGAACCCGCGTCCCCTGCATCGGCAGGCGGACTCTCAACCACTGCGCCACCAGGGAAGCCCTACCCTAGGTTTTTTTAGGCCTCTAGGTGGTCCATGAATAAGCTTCAGGAGGGCTGGGCACTCCCTTGAGATTCTCAGCAAGCAAGCAAATTGTGTGTGTGTGTGTCTGCACGTGCACACACATGCCGTGCAGGTGCATTTTTCTAGAGGAGGGTCTGTTGCTTTCATCAGCCTCTAGTAGGTCTGTGTGAAGCCAAACGCACTGCAGCAGGAGTGTTCCTATTAGCTCTTGGCTCTTCCAGAGGGAGGTAAAGGCTGCACAGGCCAGATAGTGACCAGGCAAGAAAACCATCTAATCATCACCTGAAGCGTTTGGTTAGCAGGCATCTGTTTAAGGGACGTTGGTGGCTTGTCCTCTAAGGTCCCCATTCTTGGATCTAGAGCGGAGGTCAGCAAACTGCAGCCCCCAGGACACATCCAGACCACTGCAGGTTTCTGTAAACAAAGTTTTACTGGCACAGAGCCACTCCCACTTGTTTCTTTTGTGCTGTGGCAGCAGAGTGAAGTCTTTTACAGAGACCACATGGCCTGCAAAAGCTAAAATAGTTAATCTCTGTCCCTTTACAGAAGAAGTCCAACAACCTTTGGTCTAGAGGCACCAAGAAGCTGCTCAATCACAATCCCCTGTTGGAAAGCAGGGTTGACGCCCACCCCAGCCCCTGCCCACTCCCCTTCTAGTTTCATGGCCCAACTCCCTAAGCACCTGTTTTTGTTTGTTTTGTTTGTTTGTTTTGCGGTACGCAGGCCTCTCACTGCTGTGGCCTCTCCCGTCGCGGAGCACAGGCTCCAGACGCGCAGGCTTAGCGGCCGTGGCTCACGGGCCCAGCCGCTCCGCAGCATGTGGGATCTTCCCGGTCCAGGGCTCCAACCCGTGTCCCCTGCATCGGCAGGCGGACTCTCAACCACTGCGCCACCAGGGAAGCCCCAGCACCTTTTTTTTAAGGTTTTTTTTTTGATTTATTTGTTTTTGGCTGCGTTCGGTTTTTGTTGCTCTGCGCGGGCTTTCTCTAATTGTGGTGAGTGGGAGCTACTCTTCTTTGCGGTGCGCAGGCTTCTCATTGTGGTGGCTTCTCTTGTTGCAGAGCACGGGCTCTAGGCACCCGGGCTTCAGTAGTTGTGGGTCGCGGGCTCTGGAGCGCAGGCTCAGTAGTTGTGGCGCACGGACTTAGTTGCTCCGAGGCATGTGGGATCTTCCTGGACCAGGGCTCGAACCTGTGTCCCCTTCATTGGCAAGCAGATTCTTAATCACTGCGCCACCAGGGAAGCCCCCTAAGCACTTTTTATGTCATCTGTTTCCTCCTCCGCACGCTGCCCCTGGCCTGAGGGACCTCCTTGGGCATTCCTCTGTCCTGTGAGGCCTCAGATAAGGAGCCTCTCCAGAACAGACCCCGAAAGGGGAATGAGAAGCAGGTCAGTGAGGGCAGGGCTGGAGCTCTTGGGCAATGTTCCTGGGCTG